TGTCATACCCCACCCTCGTTGCTCCAGCACTATCGGGGCCTGGGTCTGAAGGACCTGGCATGCAGCGTTACTCTTTGGATGCCGAATGATGGTGGGGCCTCTTCCCTGCAGACTGTGGTCAGCAAGGTGAAGACTGCTGGCCACAGTCATAACAGCTGAGTGGATCTGTGATTTCTGCCTTTCCTGCCAATGTCGGGGGCCAGGTTTGCCGATGTGTTTGTATTGGTGTGCAAGATGCTGGAGAGAGGCCATCTGCCTTGTGTGTCAGATTCCAGATTCCATATGGTTATGGCAGGGTTTGGGAGAAGTATCCACAGAGCTAGGGGCAGGATTAGAATAAAGAGGTGCTAATGGTGTACCGTTGGGAAGGTAAGGGAAACTGTCGGGAACTTGATGGAAAAAGAGGGTTGAAGAAAATTAAAAGGAGATCAGGAGAAATAAAGAAAAATATAAGGGAAAAGACAAACATCGCTGTTGTTTTAAAGGTCAAAGAGTAACAATAATATAGAAAGGCTCTTTCGCCTTGCCAGATTCAACAGAGAGTTGCATTTTGGCTTCTTCAATAAAATTTACACCATTGGGTTCTCAGGCTCTCCTTCCACCTTCCAGGCTCTGTCTTCCAGGCATGCCCACCCCACCTGAAACAGCCATTTCTCCTCCAGACCCTTCACATCTCCACACCCACCCCTTTTACCAAAGTTCAGTTCTTTACTTATAGAAGAAATCTGATTATTTAGCAGTAATTTTCTAAGCCAATCTCCACTTTTCTTCACCTACCAGCCTAAGTCCATATTACTAGATGTTTTGAAGACTCATGTTAACTAGATCACACTCTGTAATAATTCAAGTTTTATTGTCCAAATGTGTGTGTGTGTGTGTGTGTGTGTAAACATGTATGCATATATGTATCTTCACATAACATACGGATATATATATTATGTGTATATGCGTATATATACATACATGTGTGTGTGCTTCTGCATGTTTAAATATAAATAAATACAACTAAGACTAGCAGGAGTTTTAAAATCTCTCAGATCACACATTTCTTTCAGCCAAACAATAAATACTCTTTGATGAGCCATGACACTTCATTCTTATGTGGGGCTCTTTCAAATGGGTTCTTCAAGACAGTATGAAGTCAGATGGTTCAAAATAAACAACTAAATAACCAGCAAATGAAACCAAACTAGAGGAGGCAATGAATCATTTCTTGTCTAGGCTCTGAGACAAATTTCAGGTGCCATCTTCTATCAATTTCATTTTGTCTTCTGCCTTGGGAAATTCCACTCATTCTTTAAATCTGATTTGTGTGATTTTATGGAGTCAGGAAGGGAATGGAAGGAAGTGGGTCAGGAAGGAAAAACAGTTGACCCAGAAAGGTAGGTCGGAAAGGGAGGGAGGGAGAAAGTTAGTATTTATCAAGTTCCATGACAGTGAAGACCTTGTGTGTATTTCTCACCTTGAAATACCTTGGTACCTCAAACAGGGCCTGGTGAATGGGAAGGTGCTTGACAGGTGCAGGTTGGATGAAGGAAATTCCCAATGTTGTACTGAAGTCTCAGGGTCATGCTGACTGCTTTAAAAAAGAGTACTGAACAACTGGGCATTGCAGAGTAACCCAGTATAATGACATGTCCTTCTTTGTATAACAAGAAAGTGTATTTCCCGAGGTCATACCTTCAGAGCTTGGGCTTGTATTGAGGTTGTGATTCCAACATGTCAGAGGGCAAGGCAAGGGTAAGTAATAATCTAAGGCAGGGCCGGCAAAGTCTGGGCCAAGTATGGCCTCCAGACTGTTTTTGTACAAACCAGGAGTTAAAAATGGTTTTTACATTTTTAAAAGGGTTATAAACAAAACAAAGAAAACCAGACATCAGAAACCATATGTGGCCTATAAAACTACAAAAATACTTATTATCTAGGCCTTTACAGAAAAAGTTTGCTAACCCTTATTCTAAGGAGATACTAAGCATGTGCTTCTGAACTTACTTTTAGTCCAAAGTGGGTTTGGCTTAAACCTGTGTTCAACCAGGGCAAGACTGTAGGCCCGTGGTCAGAATGTTCTGTGAATGATCTGGAGCCACACCTACCCCTTCTCTCCCTACATACACACTCCATATACTTCATCCAAGCTCACAGCAGCTCTGTAGCACTGTTTTAAAGGGTGCATACCTTTGTTAATGCATGCTGCATGGTGTGACTTCTTTGTATGTGTTTTCCTACAAGGTTTTCTGTGTAGTTTTACAGTACAGTGAAGTCCCCTCCTGGAGTATCTGTGTGTGGCAAAAACCATAAAGGTGTTGCTTTGGCCTATTGGTGTGATGATGAGAGACTTTGTTATGGAGCTTTGAATTCACCTGGAATCTAGTGGAAATACTCAAGAAGTGACATAATTACCTATCTTCTGTCTTTCACTAAACATGGTTTGGTCATTGTTCCTTGATTATTTTCTGCTTTATTTTTCTCCTCTTCTCTCACTAGAGAATATAATTACACTTATATCAGTATGCCTGATGTTATCCCACAGATCCCACAGATCACTGAGTCTTGGTCATTGTCAACAATCTTTTCTTCCTGCTTTTCCAGACTGGAGAATTTCTATTCTTCCACCTTCAAGTTTGTTCTTTTTTTCATCATCTGCTATTAGGCCCATCAAAGAGATTTTTTTTTTTTAAGTTTCAGATACTGTGTTTCTTTGTCCTAAAGTTTGGTTCATTTTTAGAGTGTCTCTTTTTGTGCTTAGATTTCCTAGGGGTTCGTTGATTGTGACTATATTTTTTCTTATGTCTTTGAGCATAATAGTTGCTTCGAAATTCTTGTTTGCTAATCTCAACATATGTGTCATCTTGGAGCCCATTTCCATTAATGTATGGACTACATTTTTCTGTTTTTTTTTTTTTTCTATGTCTGGTAATTTTGGAGTGTATTCTGAACATTGTGAATGCTTTGTTAATCTACATCAGTGCCATTCAACAGAATTAAGACATGAGCTATATATGTAATTTTAATTTTCTACTACCATATTAAAATTTAAAAAGAAACCAGTGAATTTAATTGTAATAATGTGTTACATTTGACCCAATGTGTCGAAGGCATAATTATTTCAACATGTACTAAAAATTACTAAGATATTTTATAATCTCTTTCCATACTAAATCTTCAAAATCAGGTGTATATTTTTACTTTTATAGCACATCTCAATTTGGACTAGCTAGTGGCTACCAAATACAGTATGTGATCAGCACAGTTAAGAGTATCCTTGTGAAGAATATTGAGGGTTGGTCCAATAAAAGCATCCCTATCATTATGGAAAGCAGACAGTCCCTGACAGTTTGTAAGCTTTATTCCTTGGTCCATTCCTTGGGCCAACTGTGATATGAGGGAGGGCAGAATGCACTAGACTACTCTTCCTCATCACATATGTGTCTCAATTCAGTCAGAGCAACTCTGATTTCATGTTTTATGTTACTTGACTTATATGCATAATTTAAGAAATCTCTGGACACTAAAATAGTTTGAAATCATAAATGATCTTAAAATATGATTATTGACTGGTTCTCTAAGATCTTTCTTGCTCAGTCATGTCCTTGAGCCCATGCTGACCCCCCCTCTTCTAGGTTCACATATCCTACTTTCTAGTATGTCACAGAGCTGAGCTGTCTCTGTGGCCTGTCTGATCTTTGGGTTGTCACAGTGGCAAGTTCTTCCCTCTTTGCCCCTGGGTGTGTGTGTGGTTGATTCATTCATCAACTGAGGAGTCTGTGGGGTGGTTGCTCATAGCCAGATGCTTGAGAAGACTTCCCAAAGTGAGTTGTTCCTCATGACCTTCAGGGTTAGGGTAGGATGTCTTTCTTTGTTTAAAGTGAAGTATAATTAATATATAGCATTATATTACTTTTACATGTACAACATAATGATTCAATAATTTTATACATTACTCAGTGCTCCCCATAAGTATACTCATCTGTCAGCAGACAACACTGCCACCATCTTACTATATTCCCTATGCTGTCTCTTTCATCTCCATGACTTACTTATTTTGTAACTGGAAGTTCATACCTCTTAATCCCCTTCACCCACCCTCCCATCCACCGTCATTCTTGATTTGCTAAGGACCACACACCACCAATGAAATAAGTCTCACCTCTTGCTTTCCCTGCTATCTTCCCTCTCCCACTTGCACACTTGACCAGTTTGACAAGGCAAAGGGGGATGGCACGAAAACCACATGCTTTGTGAAACTTCTGCACCAAGCAAGAAGCCCAAGTTGAGTTTACAAAACTGCCACATCAAAAGTCTAGCTTCTTTACAGAAGAAAAACATGCACAGAACCACCAAGCAAAAGCCAGACACCTCAACCCAGAGCAGAATGGGAGGCCAGGGGTGCTATTACACACTCTACTAATCACAGTACAATGAAATGTCTCACTGCAATGACCAGAAATAAAAGCTTAACTGACAAGTACATTTCACACAATTCATCTCAGTTGACAGCCCCAGAAAATTCCCTTCAGAGCACGTGAAGTATCATGGCCATGGAATCCATCAGAACTTCTGACAGATTCCAAACAATGAACACCAAGATCCACACTCACTGGTGTTAGTTTCAGCTGCCGCAACAGACCCATCACAAACACTAACCTGTGTGACTCACTCATGGGTGCTCACACTCTGCGATTTCCTTTTCTCCTAAGACAAAATAACTTGGGGGAGCCGACATGTATCAGCTGAGGGTATGTGATGATTTTTTTCTCCATGAGATGTTCTTAGGGTCGTGCTAAAAAATGCCTTCTAGCTAGGGTTATACATTTTTTTCAGAGCCCTGGCTTCAGAGCCAGCTAATCAGTATTTCAAGCAAGCAAAAATCACTGAGCACCAACAACAGTACATGATGCAGAGAGGTACTGTGGGATCAACTGTCTATCACTGCCCCACCCCATGCTGGGTGTTTTTGCCCTGACCCTGGAGGGTCCAAGCATGAGAACACAGCTCCTTACCGTGACTGACAAGGATGTGAGTTGCACCTTCGGACCTGAGGCTCTGGACGGCTTGCTTGAGGACAGTCACTGTCATTCACCAGAGTTGTGGTCTTGTTAATAATCCGTGTGCAGGACACGATGGTTCTGCGTTCGCCTGGAAACCAAACCACAGGGAACTGAGCAACTGTGGCTCTCCCACCTGGAAAGGCCATACATGGATGCAGATAGAGGAGCATTTGGGTGCATCTTTTGATCAGTTTGTCAGTGAAGTGACTGTTATCGTGCAGTTTGCCAGTGAAGTGACATGTTATCATGTTGTCAGAGAAAGAACCATAATATTAGGGATGAGGGTGTGTATGACATGGCAGGGGCAGTATGGGGCAGGAAGAAGATTCTAGAACAGGACTGGAAAAAGGTGACACCGCAGATTAGCTATGTTTTCGGACAGCCCGGGATCCACAGAGGCCAAAGTTCTAATTTGGGACTTTAATTTCCAACAAAGATTGCCAATCTCTTTATCTGTTCTTTTGATATTTAAAGTCTACCGAGGTCTGGTCTTGATTACACATTTGTACATTAGTCCTTACCAGAGATCATAGCTACCTATTGGAGAATCCCTCCAGAACTGCTGGACAGCAGTGACAACAGGGAGGTTGGTTTGAAGGACACACAGACCTGTCTCCTCCATGTGGGCAGTCTAGAGCTAGTCTGAGAATTTGTTTAGCTGGCCAACGGCTACATGTCCTCAGCATCACCTGCATTTGGGGACGTCATTAACTGGTTACCCCAGATGGGGGTAGCCATTCCCTGGGTTTCCCCAAAGCATCCTACACATGGCTTGGTCATGGCTTTGCCAGGGAGGAGGATGAATGGGAGCTAGGAGGGTAGCTTCAATAGCCAGGTTGTCTGGGCTCAAACTTGGGTCCATCACCGGCATAATGATCACAGGATCGACAGCTAGCCGCCATGATTCTATGCCTCAGTTTCCTCAACCAGGCTGGTCCACTTAACCTCCCTGTGCCTCAGGGTGCTTCAGGGACAGTTAAAATTAACTAATACACAGAGAGTGTTTAGAACAGAGCCCAGTCAGGGTTAGCACTCATGTTAGTTACCTTCTGCTTTTATGATTATTTGGGGAGTGTAGCAATATAAGAATAAGAGGATGTCAGGCACAACTCTTTGGACCCCAGATTCCTCACTCAATCTGCCTCCTGCAAAATCCTAAACGATACCATCAGCTCTGACTGCCTGCAGCGGCAGCCTTGCATGAGCGTAAGTGGCACGGGGCTACCTCAAGCCACAGTTCAACTCTGACTGCAGGTCTGACAATGGTGAGTCATCAGTTGTCAATGGACAATCTGGAAGTCATTGGTGTCCCATAGGAATGCCGCTGGGCTGACAGTGACAGAAGGAGAACAGCACTCCCCGGCCCCCCAGCCAAGGGGGAGCCTGCTAACTGCTCTGTCTGGGACATGCTTAGTTTGTAAGTTGTCCAGGAGGAAAAGTCTGGTAGTCGGAGATATGGGAGGTGCTGCCTTTGGAGGCTGGAGGGACATGGGCACAGGGGGACAGCTGAGGGACAAGGACAGGGCTGACGGAGGATCCTGGGGCTATGCTGACTGCCAGGGATGCCTGAGGAACAGGCCAAGAACAAACAGCGAGGACAGTGAGCCAAGATGTGCAGGAGAAGGAGGGAATTCACAGCTGACTCCAGCAGTGTCTGATGGCCCAATCACTTTATAGCTGTAATTCTTACCCAAGAAAAATGGGACAAGTCACTTAAATCAAAAACGATCCTCTACATACTGGATATCTGACAAACATCATCTAGGTGGTCAGCGACCATGCAGGAATGGGTATTGATGGGGCCAAGTCACTCTCTGGGTTGGCATTCCAGAGTCCAGGTGAACCTTCCATCCTAACTCTGTGCCCATCAAAACCCACCCACTCTGTGTCTCACCTCCCGAGAACTGGCCATATGTCCTGTCAGGGTGACAAAATACAAAAGGGCTTCTAGCTAATTGTTGTGAATGGCTTCCTCCTGCACTCCCTAAACCTCCCAGTAACGAATACAGTGTGTTTGCTGATACTGATTTTTTAGCATGGCGGTCTCATCCCTGCAGTGGGCACAGGGGTGGATCCCTCTGTTTTAGAGACGAGGAAATTTTAGCATAGAGGGGGTAAGTCATTGGCTAAAACATGGTGGCATGCTTGGAATGTCTCCCTGGACTCGTGGGGCCCTTTCTTTCTACTGTGTCGTATAGTGGGGTACCTGTGGCAAAGAGAAAAGAGTATTTGGGGGCAAAACATCTGGGGGCCCTCTACCAAATAGTAACAGGTGGAGGTCTATTCTGTTCATCCCCAGGGTCACTCACCTGTCAAACCTGCCATAGACCTGTACAGGGGCTAAACCTCCACTCAGAGCAGAGGTCGAGGGCCCTGCACCACAGGCAGAGCAGCTGTGTGGGCGCAGGAGTGTGGAGGACTGAGTGAGTATTTTGCAGAGAGAACTGCAGTGGGGCGTGGGTAAGTTCCTGCGGAAACACAGGTGACACGGCCAGCCTTTCCCACACCCTGCACGCCGGCCACAGAGTGCCCTGGGTTCACGCCCTCCTCCGGCAAGTCCCCACACCCGACCCGACAGGCCCATGACCCCGGTGGCTCACCTCCTCCGCATTGCACACTGCACCCTTCCCAGCTGCTGTGGGTCCAGAGGAACAAAGAGTCCTGGGGTTTCTCAGGTTCACTCTGATTTTCTGCGGTGTAGTTGACAGGAACGGTGTACTCGTAATGGATTCCATAATTTTGGTCATGAAATAACAGCACCTGGATCAGCAGCAAAGATCAAAGGCCATTTTGAAATGGAGCAGACGCCCACAGGCTTGCAGAATTGGCGAACGAAGCCACACTGTGGCCGGCTCTCTCTACCGGAGTAAGCAGGTCTTTTCTGGGTTTCAAGACTGGTTCGGTCTAGGGGCACTCCTTATTTCGGACTCAGGTTCCTCAGAGACTCAACTGGGGCAGTAGGGTATGTGGACCCTCAGCAGGGAGCCCTGCTCTCTCCTGCTGGAGAGAGAACCCGCTTCGACGAGGACTTTGGAGGAGCACATTTGTGGGTTCTCACTGGGAGAGCTGCTCTACGCAGATGAAGAACCTGTTCCCGCATACTCAGCCACAAAGCTGCCCTCGCGGACAAGAGAGACACAAATATGTGGCGTTGGCCTAAAACAGACGTCTGAACGGGGAGGGCTACTCTTGTCCTTTGAAAATGGACATCAGTTTTCCGTCCCCCAGCATCAGCCATTGCCGCATGTAAGGCAGGCTCAAGGGCAAACACAGCCCCACCATACAGGTACCTTGGGGACTTCTGCGGAGGAGTCCAGGGGTGACTGAGCCTTCTTGCCGCCACGGGAGCTAGGACGGAGATGCCCACAGGGTGGCAGGGGCCTGGCTCAAGGCCTAAAGCTGAGAATGAGGGGGTGGGGAGCCATCCTGCAGATCGGGGCACTTGGGTCTGAAATCCTGGTGAGTGGGCAGATGGATGGGCCTGCCCTGTGTTTGGCCCTATCAGAGTGTGGCTGGAGGTGATGGGTTGTCAGGCTAGACTTGGAACCTGTGGGCACTCCTGGGTCAAGGCACCGATCAAGTTCACTTTGAGGCCTGGAAGAGTGTGCTCCACCTGCCTTGACCTGGGGAGGTCCCCCTGCTGCCCCTGAGAATCTCCCAGCCCTCGAAGGGCTTGAGTTGCAGGGTAGGGGTGAGGTGCTAAGGTCAACCTGAACCGCATAAACATCCACTTCTCCAAGAAACAGGCTTGCAGTGATACACTTGGAAAAATGCCTCCAGTTTAAAAACAAAAAACAAAAAAACCCGTCTTAAAAGATCTTTATTATCTCAGTATGGGAATAAGACTGGTGAATCAAGAATCCATATGAAACCAATTTCATGCAATTTTGCAGCCATGTATAATTTGCATGTGTGAGTGTATAATTGGTTTCAAATGCAGGTCCCTGTGACTGTGTGGGGGCTCCCAACCCCGCAAGCCATGTACACACCCCAGTTTGGGGACAACAGATGCCTCTGTAGAGGCAGAGGGGCACCTCTTATTTCTAGATTTAAAAACCTGAACTAATCATATTTCAAGAAAGAAAAATGATTGATGTTAAAGAGGGCTGGGACTTGGGCTGAGTTTATGTAGTTTCTGAGGCACGGTCTGAATGAATCTGGGCTGTATGTTTGCTTTCATGGGTGGACGATTCCCTCGTGGTTTGTGAAAGCTTTGGGCAAGAGAGGGAAATACACCCCAATCTTAGGGTTTGTTAGAGAAAAGCAATTCACGAGCCAACAGGGGACATGGCTGCAGGGTCTTATCTTTTTTATCTTATGCTTCCTCTTGAACCCCTTTTAAATCAGGACAGGAGGGTTTGTTCCAATGCCTTAGACTAGGATGGAATCTCATCACAGGGCAGTGGCCTGGGGATGGGTCCTGGGGGCTGGGGACGTACGGAGCCAACTCTGCCATGGATTTAGTGGGCTGACTGTGGCAGACACAGGTTTCTGGATGGCTGAAGCCGGGCATGGAGATCAGTTCCCTTTGCTCTCTCACTGTAGGCCGGGGGGCAGGGCTGGCATGGGCATGTCTGTCCGTCTGCCGGGTGCTCGTGGGCAGAGCCAGTTTCCTCAGGAGATTGCCTGAGAGGTGGCTGGCGACTCCTCTAGGTGTCACCTAACCTTGAATGGCTGCAGGTTGCCAGAGATGACAAATTAACGGAGGGAAAAAAAAAAAAAAAAAGAATTTCCAAGCAGAGACTCCGGAAGCACAGAGGACAAAATGTGCTTTGGTTACAGACACACAAATGGTCACAGAACCCGTGCTTTGGAACGAGATGTGGAATCAATAATTATGAGCTATTAGAAGGGAGTCATGGGAACTCCTGGACCGTAAGGAAATGGTAGGATCCCTTTCTCTGGAGATCTTTAGTACTCTTAAAAGGACGCATCACTGATATTCAAGTGATTCGCATGGGGTCCCCCTGCCCTGAGACAACGGGCAAGACAAGGTGGCCCCAACCTGGCCTGACTGCCAGGTTCCATGACACCACCCCGGGGGCCGATCTTCCTGTGGAACCTGGTTCTCCCTCTCCTGATGCCCAAATGCCTGGGGCAGACCAGAGTCCGGAAAAACTGAGTGAAGCTGGTTTGGAAACGGAGTCAAACAGTTCATTTCCAAAAGGTAGTTTCCAGTGTGGATACACAAACTGTGGGGCGGACCTGTGCCATCTGATATAAAAGCAGAGACTCTGAGTGGGGCCAAGTCTCTCCCTGGCTGTCACACGGCCAAGTATTTCCTTCCTGGAGGCTGTTCCTTTTGAAAAAGATGGCAGCTCTGCCAGTGAAGAGTCAGGGTGAAGTCTGGTCAGGGGAAAATTCTCAGGCATGTGGCGAAAGGGATGAGATAAGAGAAGACCAGGAGAGAGGGAGGCTCGAGCAGCAGGTGGCAAGAAACCCACCAGGAACCAGGCGAGCTCCTCTCCTCAGCACCCCCGGGGAGGAAGGGAACTGGCAGACCCCTTGGAGCCTCGGGCTTGGGACAAAGGCAAGAGCACAGCAAGTTACCATCAGATGCAGTGGGATCTTGGTTGGTCCCTTGGCAGAAATCTTCTCCCACAGACCCCTTCTAACGTAGCGCACGGTTGTGCCCGCAATCTGGTACTCTCCGGGGAGCTCTATCTTCCAATCGCTGTTGATGGATCTCTTATTGGTATCTTTCAGAGCTAGGAAGAAAAGGGAACATCATGTAATCAGGGGGCGTCAGTTGGCCTTTTCAGGGGAATCTGGGTGTCCTGAGGGGTGCGTTGGAGATCTTCCTCTCCGCCTCTACAGGAGAAAGGAGGGGGTCTGCAGTGATAGAAGGTGGGCTTTCTGGATGCTGAGAACAGAAGTCTCACTCACAGAGGGCAAACAGCTCAAGATTTGCAGGACCCTGTGCGACAGAACGCCAGGGGATGGAGACAAGCATAGACCAACCACATTTTACTAAACTTCCAGGGTAGAGGGTCTTCGTCCTGATGGATGAATTCTATTTTAATGTGTCCAAGGCCACAGAGATGGGTTTGCTGCTTAGCAAAATTTGTCAATTCATTTAACCGTTACCTACCTGGGGCTTTTGACAGCCTAATCCAGCTTTTCTTAGGGACTTGAGAGCCCCACGGTCATAAAGTGGGGGCTCCTCCAAGAAAACAGTTGCTGTTCTATTAAATGGTAGAGTTAGGGAACCTGAGCTGACCACAGATGGGACAGTAGGGCTCGGACGATGCCACGAGGGAGAGGCTCCATGGTTCTCGGGTTCACACTCTGCTGGCTCACCCTTCCACTGGGTAGAGAATGTGTTGGAAGAAACAAAATCAACACTTTGCTGGTTGGCCAGAGTAAAAAATCTGGTTTTCCACACACGATGTATATTGATTATCTGAGTGCAGACCGTGACTTTCTTATGTCCCCTTGCCTAGGTTTGGAGTCATGTTGTTCTCACGACTAGAACATTCTGTAGTGAAATTCTGTTTTGTTGTTGTTGTTGTTGTTGTTGGTTTCATTTTGTTATTTAAGAATGACAAGAACTAAAATGTACTCTGGCATTTGGGAGAGGGTCGCAGACGACGGCAGGTTGAGAACAAGTCTTCCGTCACCCAAACGATGAAACTCCCAGGACATCCTGGGTGCTCCCAGTCCCTCTCTCCCCAAGTGCAGCTGGACACCCCCCCTACTCCCTGCCCATGCCCCAGATGCTTCCAATTGCTTTGAGACCCTGCTTTGTCCACAATCAGTGAAATCAGTTCCACCCCTTCCCTCTTCTCTGCTTCCCAAGGCGAGAAATAAAACACCCACATTTAATACCAATTTTGGATGATGAGAGCTGAAAACAAAAAGGGGTTTCTGTTAGCCCTCAATTCATGAGCCCCAAGGCTGGGTCAGGACCTTGTTGGACCTGGTCCTGGTCAGGCCACCAGCATCTGGGGAATGCTGGGCCTCTGCTTCCCTGTCTCTAGGACACGATGGTCCCCTTGCTTGCTCTCACCCCACCAGACTGTCCTGGAGTGCATGAAGGAGATGCATGGTCACGACTCCTCGCTTCTAGGAACTGCCAAGAGAAACTAGGAAGAAGCAGTAAGGGCTGCTTTCCACTAGAGCGACTTCCAGTCAGGATTTCATATCCAGGGTGGTTGTGTAGAGTGAGCGGTTGAGGGTTACAGGACTCCAGGGAAGGCTTAGAAAAGAAAAGGCTCTACCTCTTGGAACTGAACATTTCCCTTCAAGAAATTCTACCTGCTACTGAAATTTCCTGGCTACAAGACGGAAGGGGAAATGTAAGAGTACTCACAATCTCTGCTCCTTTATCCCTTCCTCAGCCAAAACCTACCAGCCACCTTCGAGAAGCACATTCTTGGATTTAGCCCCCACGCGTACTTCTACACATTTACTCTTCCCAACAACTCTCCGAGGGAAAGCATTATTTTCCCATTTCACAGATGAGGAAATGGGGCCATGGAGAGGTTAAGTTACCTGCCTAAAGTCACACAGCTACAAAGACTGGACAACCTGAACCTAAACATACCGAGCTCAGCACTCTTACCACTCTGGCAGTATTCTTTAGGTTACAGCCTCCATCTAGAGTTTTGCGACAAATACGAAAACACTTGTTTTTGGAGAGAACACATTCCAGGCTCCAACTGCCACAGGGTCTCGCATTCCATATACCCTTATTATAACAAAACTCACAGACTGTTCCTTCTACTTCTCTGTAGGTTTGGAGAATTGTTTCTTGAACACACACACGTAAATTTGGTTTCAGAAATCAGTGCAGGCTGGTGGGGAGTGGCAGATGGACACAGTGAGGGGCCAGAGTCCTTGAGGAATGGTCCTAGAGATAACAAGTCGGGGAAGCACAGGGAGTGGCAGACACATGCCTCCCCTCTCCACACCCCCGCCAACACCACCAGTCAGGGCCTCCTCACTGGGTGTTGAGGACAAAGCTCTTGCCCCTGGTGAACTCAACATTTGGAAGGGAGACAGGTGAGAAAACAGATAAACACGGTAGTTTCATAGGCTCCGTGGCAGAGGTGAGCTCAGGGTCTGCATCTGTGTGTGGGGGGACAGGGACAGGGGCATACGGGGAAGACTTTCTGGAAGAAAAGCAGGGAGGAGGGTGGCCTGGGAGTGCCTGGCAGACATGGACTGTGGATCCTGACCTGGCGGCCATGAGAGCTCTTCCTGTGAACACCGCTCTGTGTGGAGAAGCAAGTGGGAGGTAAAGCAATTTTTTCCCCTAGAAGTCTGGCTGGGAAAGGGAGGCAAGATGAAGAGTGGCTCTAAAGGGTGGAGAAGGGGAGAGAAGTTTCACTGTTCTTATTATCGGGGTGGGAGACGCGAGCATGTTGAGACTCTCCTCCCCCACCCAGAACTTGGAGTTAGAGAGATGGGCAGTTTCTTTAGTTTCTTTATATGTGGACCACTACGATGTTTGACTCACCCCATAGAACCCATTTTCAAAACTCTGGAGCGGCAGCTCTCCTTGCCACTGGCCACCCACATGCACCAGCTGACTCCCTGACTCAGTGCCCGGGCTGGGGCCTTGGGTTTAAGAGTTGGGGTTCTGGCCTTGTTCTCATGTTATGGCTGCTGTGAATGGTGTGTTGGCTGTCTCTATCTCCAAGTAACAACAACCCAGAGTTTCCTTTGGGGGTATGTTCTTCTTCTATCTGACTCCAAACTCATCCCCATTCCAGGTATGGGGCCATCCCCCAATCCTGGACTGTGAGAGTCAGTTCCAAGGCTTCCATTCACCTTGGGAAGAAGCAACTTACTTTCTACAGGATTGCCCGGAGACTTAAAGGAAATCTGGATTACCAGCACCTGGGAAGATGCACCCAGATTAAAGTCAACTGAGAGGACAGCAGTGCCAGGGTAGAGAGGGACACAGTTTCCCATGACATCATTTTAAGCCCCTGGATCCAGCAGCGCCTGAAGCTGATACTCATCAACTGAGAACAGTTTGGCTTTCACATGTGTCTTTTTAAGGTTTGGTTTTGTTTTTTAAAATGCCAACCACGATAGGGGTAGGGCAGGTTGGGAAAGAAGATTACTAGTATGGACTCCTAGAAACCACCCTAGGATCCTTAGCAGCGTAAGCATCATACCCTGAGATGTAGAAGGCTATCTAGGCCTTAACCTGTCTCCTGGGCCTCTGCTCCTGTCCGGCACTAACGCCTAGGATGAGGTGGCTCCTTCTTACTCGGCCTTGTTTGTGCATCTCCTAGGCCCTTTGTGTAAGGCACTTTCAAGTGACACTGAAGCTACCCTGCCTCCATGCCAAAAGTCAAACAGCTGGGGGGTTAAGACTGGGAAGGACTAGCCAAAGTGCAGGAGGGACACCCGGAGACGATTCTCAAACCACCCGCAGAAGCAGCATGTAGAAGTATGCGGGCCATCCTGAGGAGCCCTGCTTCTGTTGGCAGAGGCACTGGCTGTGGCTGATCCAGTGGCCAGATGGACTGCCGGCTGGGGCTCGGGACATGTCAGCCTCTGATCGCCAAAGCAGGGATGTGCCTGTCAGTAGCGGGAAGGGTTCAGAGGGGCAGGTGGAGGAGACATTGCACAAGGTGCTCTGCAGGGTGGGTCTGGGGCGGCCTGGGAGGAGTAGGGACTGGTCAAGGAAGAGGAGGAGGCGATGTGAGAGCAGCAGGCTGTGGCTGGCCAGCTAGGACAGAACAAGGTCAGTGCTGAATGGGAGAAGAACGCGTCAGACGGTGCAGCACTGGTACCCAGCTCGCTGGGGAAAGCAGCCTAGATTTACAGGGCCTGTAAATGCAAGCCCCCAAGCAGGGCAGATTTCAAGCAGTCTGTGTGACCGTGGTGAATGCAGAGCTCCTCCAAGCCGCATGTGGCTGCTGTGGAGCCCCACCATGAGTTCGGAAAGCTCCTGGCTTTGCTTTGGAGGGGCTGGGCTGGAGCTGCTCACTCTATCACAGCTCTGGGGGTGTGGGCGGGTCCACAGGGCCCTAGGAAGAATAAACTCTGAGTATGGCCACCTTCACGACAGCTTCTAGGCACTGCAAACACGGCTTTCAAGTCGTCTCTACACCCAGCATGGGGCTTGAACTCACAATCCTGAGATCAAGAGTTGCATGCTCTACCCACTGAGCCAGCCGGGTGCCTCCAAAGTGGCTTGATGATGTCCACTTGGTACCCCTTCCTCAGGACAGTTCGATGGTGATGTCAGTCCTTGATGAATTTTGCAATGGGAGGGAAAACACAGGGTTCAACATCGGGGCTCAGCAATTCCGAGAAGCAAGGTGATCACTTCTAACCTATTGACTCGGTGAGGAATCTAGTCAGCAACAGTCACAAATTTGCAAGGTGCTGGGGTCCACTGGTGACACTGGGACTTCCCACTAAGATGGGAATTTAGCACCTGCGAGTCCTTCAGAAGGGTGGGACAGCAGCCTCAGAGAATCTGTGAACATCAAGATCGTTATTAATAGCAAATACATGGGTATGGTGTGGAGTCTGATGGGAAACCTACGTCGTGGGGCTGGGTCAGCTCCAGCCAGTGGGAACGCTGATCATCTCCTAGCCCATTGGCATTAGCCTCCACCCCAGGCAAGCTTCCCCTCCATGGGGTGTTTGAGAGCCGGTGGGGCAGGAGCATCCAGGCCCCTTGAGGAGTGCTTTCCAAGGCCTTGGACATAATGCTGCATTCGTTTTCTGAAAGAAGGCCCCAGAGTTAAGTTTTGGGCCCTACAAGTTCCCGTCCTTCTCATTCCTGTGGCATCAAGGGTCTAGCCAAGCCCCCCTGTGTCTGTAAGCAGGTTGAGGTTAGCCTGCATTGAAATTAAGATTTTTAGGTCCAGAAGTTCAAACGGGGGCTATTAAAAGGATTACACACGTTTTGATTTGACAGGCAAATAATAAAGTGACGAACAAAGAGAAATCTTCAGCGACTTGATTTGATCTGTGTTGTCTGAAGTTTGGATTTGCCGGCGAGGACAATTTTTTGCTTTGCTGGTTCTGTCTGGGTCAGAGGCTGGATGTTTTAAGCCACCATCCAAAACAGAGCAGTGCTTGCTTCCATGTATTTGGGTTAGAAGCCATGAGGAGACTCTCAGCAGCTGGAGAGACTTCTGGAACGATGAAGATGGGCACAAACAAGCTCTCTCTTGCTACTGTAGCAGAACAAAACCATTCCATTAAGGAAAGGCCCAGAACATGAGGTCTGATGGCAAATGTCCATTTCTCTCCGGGGGCCCTCTTTCTCCCTGTGGACCACTACACATTGTCCTTGGACATCTAGGCACTGTGGGAAAAGATCCTGAGCCATTTTGGGGAGCTGGGGGTGGGGGAGAGGGCAACAGCTCCTTACAGCTGGCTGGAGGCACATTAAAGAGGTCCGACCCCATCTGCAGGCCCTCCTCTTGTGAGGAGCTGTGCAGAAGCTGGGCTTCTTTCTGTCTTTCTCCCTCTTGGATTCCACTGGAAGACTTGACCCACAATCAACCTACTTCTAATCCTGGCATCCCGTCAGTTCCTTGTATTTCCACTCGGAGCTCTGCCAGCTCTGTTCTCAGCTGTGGACACAAACTGCAGAGGCATTTCCTGTGCCAGGTGCCTTGCTGCAGAGAGCCAGGCAGCGTGGGCCGAAGGTAGGTGGGGCGTAATTCTGCAGGAACGGCTCCCGGCAAATGTGAGAGAGTCATTCAGAGTTACACTGGGTTGACTTCCAAAGCACCCAGCCCCGAGTGGAAACAGGGCTTATTTGAACTAATTTTAGAAACATCAGGAGCGTGGACCACCTTCAGATTTGCCCTCACCCCCACACCCAGCCCTGGACTCCTGGGATTTAAAAACATGGGAATAAGATAAGAAGACCAAAGCTGGCTCTAAGCTCCCTTGGAGGTCCAGAGCTTCTGGGGATGTTGTTCTGAGACATGGAACCCATCTCCTTGGGATGGAGGTTTGCCACCTTGAGGTCCACACAAAGAAGGAAAAGCAATATGTGAGTGTAACACATGTTCTCTGGGTAAAGATGCCCCCTCCCCTAGCCCCGCTGATGTCTGCTGATGACCGGACACATCAGGGTGATTCGAGGAGGCTTGTAAACGGCCACAGCCCCAGAGGATATGAAGAGGATGCACAGGCTCCTGAATGAACCCTTGGAGCCTCCGTCTTGTCCTCAGTGAAAGAGGCAAAGCAGTATTTTCCAGTGCCTTTGGGGCAGTGAGGAATCAGGTCTGCAGAACAGGGCAGGGCTCAATGCCTGGGAACCCCAAACGTTGATGTTCATGTCATCCCCACACATGGCCCGCCGACTCCAGGAGCTGAGAGGAACCAACTGGAGAGCTAGTCCCCACCACTGGCAGCATTCACTAGTTAGATGGCCCTAACACAGGCTCCGAGAAGAAGTACATTTTTACTAAGTTGAGTAATCCAAAGGATTCTGACACCCTTCTGTCCTTCTTATCTTGTTGCAGGAAAGTACAGATAACGTTCCTACTTTAGAGGGACATCTGGGGCTGGGTCAGGTGCCAGAATGGTGCTGGGAAGTCTCGGAAGCCAGGACCAGAAGCCAAGGGACTTGCTTGCTGCTGCTTTGATGGAAGAACCACGCCACTGACCGAGGAATGGGGCTTGCTCCTGGGATACTGAGATCAGGTCAAAGGCAATGTCTGCCATCCTCCAAGGCCTGGTGCCCCCCAAGGGGCAGAAATTCTTCTAGGTAGGCGAGGGCTGATGTACCAGCTGGAAAGGGTGACACTAGGCGATTGGGCTTCCAAAGCAAATGCTGGTGAGAAGGGGGTGGGCTCTTTGGGAATTTAGTAAAAAAGGCCACGGGTCTGCTGGAACTGCCAAGAGCAGCACAAGGCTACCTTAAAAGTGTGCATGAGCATCATTCTATCTACAGGGACAGCTGGGGCAACTGCAGAGAAGGGTGCCAGGCTGGACTGGGAGAGTAGCCATGCTGGGAGGGTCGCAAAGCCAGAGGGGCTGATAAGACCCATGTGGGTGTCACCCTAAGGGATGGTAAGGTCCTACCCTGGAAGCAGGAGCAGCAGTGGCCTCAAGAAGATGGGGCAGATGGCAGAAGTGAAAGCTGCAGAAGAGGGGACAGGGTTGCCTGGGACACAGTAGGGACCCCAGGAGGTTGCTGGCTGGTGAGCCCTGGTGTGGGCACTCAGGAACAAGAGCTCCTGGCCCCACTGCTGCCTCTCCCCAAGGCATGTGCGTGAGGATTAACTCGGTGTTTGCAAGAGGTTTTTTTTTTTTAAAAAAAAATATTTATTTATTTATTTATTTGACAGACAGAGATCACAAGTAGGCTGAGAGGCAGGCAGAGAAGAGAGGAAAGGAAGCAGGCTCCCTGCTGGGCAGAGAGACCGATGCAGGGCTGGATCCCAGGACCCTGGGATCATGACCTGAGCCAAAGGCAGAGGCTTTAACCCACTGAGCCACCCAGGTGCCCCTGCAAGTGGTTCTTATAGGATGGTGGTCTTCATTGTAAACTTGCCTACTATAGGTTTGTTTTATGTCTGTCTAATCAGACTTTGTTTTTTAAAAAAGATTTTATTTGAGAGAGAAAGAAAGAAGGAGCACCTGTGGGCACGAGAAGGGGGAGGGGGGAGGGAGAAGACGACTCCCCCCTGAGCAGGAAGCCTGATGTGGGACTCCATCCCAGGACCCTGGGATCATGACCTGAGTGGAAGGCAGACACTTAACTGATAGCTACCCAGGTGCCCCAGACTTTCAGTTTCTCAGGTAGGGACTATTTCAAAGAAAGACTTAGATCTTTCTGTATCTACAAAGGCAGAAACGTGGACCAAGATACAATTAAAAAAAAAAAAGTCAGTGATAAAAGTTTAAATGAAAGCATTTCATGAATAACTGTTTCAGCTAAAACAATTTAATTCTTAAGTTTGAAGCCAGAGAGAAAGAGAAAGAGAGAGAGAGATCATGTCTTGTATATTCTTGTCAATCTCAAACAGAACCTTCCAACACAGACTGAGGAGATAGTAACATAAGGAAGCCCAGGAGAAGGGTACCTGGGTAGGAGATCAGCCACCTCCAGTCTGAAATCCAACCCAAGATAGAAATACAGGAGGAAGGCTGAGCATCCCTTTTGTTCCCATAACAGCATAAAGAACACATAGGACTCAACCCACAAGTACTCAAGTACCAGGCAGATACTTGCGAGGACCAATGGAAAGGCCGGCTGTTAAGCTTAGGATACGGCAAGAGAGACTTCAATGCCTGAGAAGGGGTTCAACTGAACAATTCTTAGGGCCTGAAGTATGGTTCTGCTGAAGGCAGTGAAGACCAACCTGGAATGAAACCCCATCCTTTGACAGAAAGACATAGGCATTTGTGCCCGAAGTCAATAGAGTTGGCCAGAAGGAATTTGGGGTACACAGAACTTAGTGAAAACCAGTGTTCTTTTGTGGTTCCATTAGCTCTAGGGCTATTACTCTTTTTTCCCAGCTACGAAACCATCCCCAGAGCTATCAATAGCTGGGCAATGTGCCCATGCTATGTAGGCAAAGGCTGCTCTGGGGTGACTCTGGGGGACTTTTGTGATCCCAATTCCTCGTTTCCTTCCTACTGATCCCCTCTCCCCTGCCCCATCCACTTGGGGGCGGCTGCACTTTAGCCAACTAGGGTGGCATCATGTGGCCCACTGTGATTACTTCTATCGTTAGACTTCGGATATGAATGTAACAACCACAGCCTGGGAGAATGATGGTGGACCACGTAATCAGCACGATGATCCAAATCTCAGAACATAAATCATGAGTTATATTCTTTTTGTTTTACCCAGAAAACTGTGGGCGGGTTTATCCTCCACCACGCGAATCCTCCGGGCTCCCGCTGGAATGATGGTAGCTTCGATATAACCTGTGGTGGCAGATAACAGGAAGGTGAAGCATGCCTCCACCCCCCCATCAGAGGCACACTTAGAACCCCCCCCCCAAAATCCACCTAACCCTCCCCCTCCCCCCCATGATTTCAGAGCCTGCTGCTGGTCTGGCTCTAAAAAATCAAGTCAACTAACACGGAGCGTTCTTCTATGGCCAGAACCTCTGGGCTGCCCAAATTCCAGAAAGAACGATTTGTGTGTACGGAGAGTTGAACTGCGTCTCTCCTCACCCACCCCCATTCTTATGTTGAAGTCCTAATCCCCACTACCTCACCGTGTGACCTGATTTGGAAAATGGGTCTTTGCAGATGTGATTTCTTAAGATGAGATCCCGCTGGAATAGAATGGGCACTGCATCTTCTACAAAGGGGGAGTTCGGATGCAGGCAGGTACACAGAACTCCATGGAAGCAGGAAGCAGAGATTGGGATGATGCTTCTAGGGGGCGCCTGAGTGGTTTGTTGTTAAGCCTCTGCCTTCAGCTCAGGTCACAATCCCAGGGTCCTGGGATCAAGCCCGCATTGGGCTCCCTGCTCAAGATGCTTCTATAAGCAAAGCAACACCCAAGACACCCAGCAAGCCACCGGAGGCTGGGGGAGATGCATGAAGCAGATTCTTCCTTCCAGCATTCCAAAGGAAGCAACCCTGCCCACACCTTGATCTTGGCCTTGTAGCTCCCAGAGCCATGAGACAGCAACGGTCTGTTGTTCATGCCAGTCAGTTTGCAGTACTTGGGGACCGTGGTACTTAGTGACGGGGGCCCTAGCAGACTGAGACAGCCTGGAATCCTGCAGGAACAGCCCCTCCCTGGAGCACAGAGGCAGCCTGCCCTTGGCCACTCCATCTGCTGGAGGTTCCTTTGGGCTTTACTGTACTCTGAGCTGTCCCCCAATCCATGGAATGATAGCAGAAGCTAAGCTCCTTGCCCAGTGGCAACAACACTCCTTAACACACTGTTGGCCATTTCCTGCTTCCGCTGACCTCTGGGCATCTCTGCAACTCTCCCAGTGCAGTCTTTTGTCTGTCTCCTTGAGTATTTCCAACTATAACGGGAGGTCCTTGGAGGCCCGGGGGGCCTTCCTCTGCCCATCCTCTGACCCCATATGTGCCCAGACAGTGGGGGATAATGAAGATTCAAGGAGGGTAGGGCCGAGGCTGCCGGGCAGGAGCTCAGGCCCTGGCTGCTGCCTGGTTAACCGGGTCACTAATTGAGCCCAGCCCTATGGTGTGATTTTGAAACACAGGCTGATCATTTTGTTTTGATTTTCATTTGGGTTTTAGACAAGGATTATGTGTGTTTGCTTCAGCAATTTAGATGAGGGTCCCAAATTAGATTATGAAACCTTCCCCTGTGGTTCCTAAATGTGATCACCCGAATCAGCAGGGGAGCATTAAAAAGGAGAGATTTTAAGCCCAACTACGTAGAGATTATGGAAATACCTATTTTTGAGAGTTTGGTTTATTTCCTCATTTTCTCACAGTAAAACTAGCCTTATTTTTACTATAAAAATAGTTTATGATAATTCAAACCACAGAAGGGAAAAAAAAAAAAACCCAGAATGAACACATTGCACTATAGAAATTACCCCTTAAAAAAGTAATATTTTGGTGACTAGCCTTTTCGGCATCTAATAATGCATATAAAAATACATACATCATTTACATGAATAGGATATTGTATAGAGTTTTAAAAGATTGGGGACAACTTTATAAAATAGAGTTTTGCTAGGCAGTATGTGCCCAAGGTACAAAATTCAAGTTACAAAAGATTATAGTAAAAAGGATGTGCCTCTCATAAGATATACCCTATACTTAGGTACCTTTCTAACACTTTTATTATTTATAATAATGTGTTTATTTTGGCCAGGTTCCTATAAAGCTAATTGAAACATCTGCTCCTATGACGGTTTTGTTTCTTCCGTTCTAATCGTTACCGCTTTAATTTCTTCTCCTTCACCATTGTTGTGGGAACTTACAAAACCATGTTGTGTGCAACAAGCGACTGTGGCATCTTTGCCTTATTCATGATGTTCCCAAGAATGCCTCCAAAGTGTTCCCACTGAAAATGATGTCTGTTGTGTTAAGGTGACTGATATCAAACATCAGGTTAAGGAAGTTCCCTTTCAGCCTAGTTAAGAGCTTTTGTTATGAAGAGATATTGAAGCTTTTGTTATGAAGAGATATTGAAGCTTTGCTGAAATCATCACTTTTTTTTTTTTTCCCCAAACAATCTGAAGACCTCAGGGCATCTGAACTATAATCACACTGCTCATGGCTAACATGGCGGGTGGGTCAGTACCTTACTTTGTCTTTCCTTCACCAATAAATTTTAGCTGTTATTTCTTTTTTATTCTGATATTTTTCTGTTAACCTTTAATTGTATTTACATTGCTATTATATGGCTTGTCAGCTGGTAGGTGAAGTATTTTAATCCCTGAGTAAAAGATGAGGAAATCAGCATAATTACACTGTGCTTCACTTCCTTACATCTTTCAACTTTTATTATATGAATCCTACACTGTATCTATTTGTAACATTTATCTTTTGCTAAAATAATTAGTGCATTCGTTTTAGTCTCAGTCCTAAAACTTAATTTAGTGTTCATTGTGTGTCCTTCCGCTAGTTTCTTCAATGAATTCTTACTTGCCTCAAGTTTGTGCTCTTTGAGATGGGCTTTTGGGAATTACATTTTCTGAAATGCAATACAGTAAAAATTATCATTTGTTGTTCTTATACTCGAATGTCAGTTTGAGGGGTATAACATTCTTAGATCACACTTTCTTCCTCTAAGCCCACTATTATGAGTTGCTCCACTGAATGTCAGTGAGGAAAAGACTGAGGCCAATCCGATGTTTTTATTAAATTACCTAAAATCTAGACTGAATGCTTATAAGAGTCTTACTTTTAAAATCTGATAACTATTAGGCTAATCATAGTTTAGTAGAATTTTTTCCTGGGATATATTATTACCGTACTTAAGTATCTATTTTTCTGATTTGTTTGGTTTTCTTTTTTGGAGACACCAAATTATGCCTGATTTTCTGCCATGGTGTTCATTTGATCTCTTACCCTGTGGATTCTTTGTCCATTTCCATTTTGCTCCACTCATTTTTGTCAGTCTTGTCCTCCATGTTCCTTTTTGTATTCTCAGCAATGTTACTATCCTTTGTTTCCATGTGGACTTGGTTTCTGTGATGGATTCATGTTCATCCTTGACATCTTTCCATAGCTCTACCAAATCACATTTCATCTCCCTCTGTTGCTTCACTATATCTTCACTGAGTTCTTTTATCTTAGTTATGAGTTCTTGTTTTATTGAGGCTATTGTTTAACCAGTTTTTGGAATTTACGGCAGTAACATTTGGTCATGATTTTCACCTTCTCCCTGGCAACGTTTTGCTGGTGTTTGTTCTTTTTATCTCTTTCCTAGTGCAGTGATGGATCCTGTTCTGATTTTCTTTCCAAATTACTAATTTTTAGTGATACAAATTCTAATTGTACCAGTTGCTTGTAGTAGGTTTGAACAATAAGGAAGAACAGGAGAGTGTCATCGGCTAGCATGACTTTTAATTGTTAGGACACAGGCTTATGTGTATCAGTGAATTTATTTTTATTTTTGTAAAACTTTATGTATTTTAAATTATACAAATATACATGTATGTTTTCTCCTAAGAATTTTATAATATAGGTAAATTTCAAGTCCTCTTAATCCCACTCCACTCTCTGTGAAAACTGTCACTATTGGTCTGGTGTATATTCATTCATATATTTTATTTATATACACATATCCATGAAAACTAAGAATATTTATATTTGTCCATGTTTTACATATGCATTAGGAGAAACATTATATTTAGTCTTAGTGTACTATATTATACTTTTTGTAACATAACATATCTTGGGAGATCTATCCATGTGAGTGTGTGTAGGTCTATTTAATTTTTCATTTGAATTGTAGCTTACATAATTATTCATTAGCTGAGGTACACTTAAGTTGTTTCAAATCTTTTACTGTTAGAAACAATGCTATCTTATGTATGAATATGCACACAAAACTAACAAAATAGTAGCAACCTAACACAGCAACATATAAAAAGGATTATATACCATGATCAAATAAGATTTATCCCAGGAATTCAAGTTTAGTTTGACACGTAAAAACAAATCAATCTAATCTATATAAAAAAAACAAAAACCCCAAAATCATTTTAATAGGTTCAGGGAGAGTATTTGACAAAATTTTACACCCTTTCATGATAAAAATACTTAACAAAGAATACAAGGGAACTTCCTCCACCTGATAAACAGCACTTACAAAAAACCCACAGCTAACATCAGACTTAATGGTGAAATACTTTAATGCTTTCCCCCTAAAATCAGGAAGAAGACACGGATGTCCACTCTTGGTACTTCTATTTAGCACTGCACTGGAAGTCCTTTCCACATTGACCAGACAAGAGAGATTTTTAAATGGATCCAAATTAGAAAGGAAAAGTAAAAACCTCTCTATTTGCAGATGTCAAGATCTTACATATAGAAAAATGCTAAGGAATATACTAAAATAGGTTGAGCAAGGTTGTAAGATATGAGGCCTGAGCCATTAGAGTTGAACAGTTCAAAATGAAATTAAGACAATAATTTAAACGAAATAGCATCAAAGAATGGCAAAGAATACTTAGGGATAACCTTCACAAAAGATGTGCAAGATTTCTACACCAAAAACTATAAAATGGTACTGAAAGATATTAAAGAAGAGCTAAATAAATGGAAAGACACTCTATGTTCATTGATTACAAGATTTAATGTTAAAGCAGGAATAGTTTAGAAACTGATTTACATATTCAACATGGTCTATATAAAAATTTCAGCTTTTTGTTTTTTGATCCTGAAATTCATATGGAAATGCAAGGGACCCAGAACAGACAAAATAATATTTAAAAGGAATAAAACTGGAGAACTGACACTCATTTTAAAGTTTT